ATCTTGGGTTCAAATCTTTGGTGAAGAAAAAACGCACCATTTGGATGATTCCAAATATGTTTTGACATCCTACTCTTCGGAACACTATAATAACTCCCGCCTAAATGGCCAGTCGCAACAATTAATAATACTAAATTGTATTTATAATTATGATTCCTTTCTGGAAATGATATTATATGTCTTTTAAAACAATTAAAAAATATTTCGTCTAAAAAACGTAAAAAGCAAGATTTTATGAGATATCTTGAGATACTGAAATTGACACAATTAACTACTAGGTACTAGGGGCCTATCTCGCCTTGCATGGCAGGATTTTTATTTTTTTTAACTTATTGGAAATAACTATCGAGATATATTATATATAAACTATAGATTCTCTCACCAGTGAACCCATTTGTTTGAATCCATTCGCTGATTATTTTATATTTTATCGTAATTAAATCACTATTGGAATTCAATGCAACCGGTTGCAATGAATGCCAACAAAACATTGTGATAATGTTTACCAAAATTGGATAATTTTATCAAAAATCGACATTATTTCCCACAAACTATTAACCTACTTCGAAAATATCGTGAGTCAGGTTATACGCACCTGGCTTTCTTACAAGGCCTTTTTAGCTGACTTCAGTAACTATTGAGACTTAAAAAGATTTTCGTATTTGGCATACCGGCTCTAATACTAGTTTAGGTATCAATTAATAAGGGGGATAAGGAGGGAAACAACAAGAAAAAACACGAACGGTGGAAGATAGAGAAATGTTGATGCTTTTATCAAAACACAACCAATTAGTTGTTGTGTTACCTGTGCTATACATAGGCTTTATTAAATTATGTTTACGAATAGAATTTGCATCATATTAGTAACTGCGCAATTATGTAGTGTTACTATAACAAATGGCGTGAGCGTGTTCAAATGATAACGATTATTAAGCGATCGGATATCTGATTTCTAAACGGAAGCAAAGTACCTCTTAATATTAGTTTTCAGTTAACATCTTTACTTGTAAAGTCCTTCATAAATAAATATGTAGTTCGGGTCTAGTATGTCTTGTGTCCGTATTTAAGCATTTCTTTCGTAGCGAGGTATGTAGAAATATTTGTATGAATAACTTATTTTAACAGATTGATGTAAAACAAAATGTAAGTGCTATTACCATCAACACATTTAACTGCTAGTGTTATTTTCCTGTATCGGTTCAAGCGGTCACACAGTTGTTCAAATTTTTTATGAATAAGACCGAAGTTTTTATATTTATATGAACTAGTAGTGACCAATTTGGATCGATTTCATACAGAATCTGTAAAGATGATTAAAATATATTCTGTATAAAACTATTAAATATTTTGTGATAAAGTGGGGTCCTTGCTCCCCTGGATCTCTTGAAACTTAGTCCTTATATAGGCAACACTGTACTTCGTGGTGAAATTACTCTCTACTTACTAACTCAATACAAATTAAAAAAGTTGTAGCACACATATCACGTAATTTCTTCCTTGCACAAACTACAATCGGAAGAGGAGAATTTTCAGGCTTACGTAGATTTACCTTAGTCAATCTGTATTGTAATAATGTATAGCGTCTGACGGTCTGACCTGAGTTGTGACAAAAAACTTCGCAGATTTACATTGGCCATTTTATATACCTTCGTAAAGAGAGTCTTCTTTAATTTTAAACCATCATATACGATGATACCTATTATACTAGATATAATGCAAGGAAGCATTTATCTATACCAATACACCAGTTACAGTGAGAAATACGATTAGCCACGATCTCGAGGCATATTATAGTGTACATATATGCCCAGACACCAGTGCCGGATTAGCCACATAGCAAGAGTAGCAAATGCTACGGGCCCCGCGAACTTAGGGGCCCCGCGCTCCAACGCCTGTCTGACCGTAATAAAAAAAGTATTAATTTAGATAGTAGCGTAAAATATCTTGCATACCTTTAACGCGAAGCGCTTCGTCTATGCTTCACTTCCACATAAAAATAAACTCGACTTCGTCAAGTATAATCGTTAAAATAAGTACGTATTTATCTTTTTAACGTTAATTTTCAAATTTTAATTATAATCGATATACATATATAGACTAGCATGTTATTTGTACCCTTCAGATTTTTATTTTTATATAGGTATACATTTATTTTGCTAGTTTACGTAGCCGAGATTGTACTTTTCTAATCGATTTTAATATAATATCGATTATAAGTATTTCGAGGGACATAGGCGAACTATTTAAATCCGAAAGCCTAACCAAGGGCCCCTAGGCAGAATTTGCTACAGGCCCCGCGCTGGCTTTATCCGGCACTGCCAGACACGGACACAAGCTTTTTTCCTTTATAGTTAACATAAAGCCTGAACCTACAAGTCTATTAACTTCGGATAACATAAGGATTTTTACTCTGAAGCCCAATAGAGCAAAGTCACTCATAACATAAAAATTTATTTATCTATATCAAGGCAAAATCATTTATTAATTTAGGTAACACAATGTAAACTTATGAACGTCAATAAAGGAATACATATTAAATACTAAATGCTTCTAATTTTACATTTACTGCCAGTTCTCAAATCAAGGGCGTAGAACGGACGAGAAGAACTGGCAATAAACTCTCCGCCACTCTTTTTAAACGCCAAGTTTTTTGTTTTACACAATGTTAGTAAGGAGCTTCAACCATTACACCATGTACATAAACGGCTGGATCAATTCGAGTATTTTTTTTTTACATTTATCCTTTGAACTCAAAGGAAGGAAGTAGGCTTTTATATAGAGAAAAGTTGGAAATATGTACATAGAAAAAAATGAAAAATTTAGTTTTATTTAGTACGGATTTTATTTCAGAAAACCGAACAACCTCTATGGGGTAGCATAAGAAAATGAGTCATGTGTTGGCTTGTAGCTACTAAAATGACAGCTTAAATAAAAAAAATCATATTAAAGCGAAACGAAGTTCGCGGGGGAAGCTACTTTATACATGACAATGATGCAGTATAAAAACAATACAATGAGAACTATTAAATCAACAGGAGATCTTATCGCCTTCAAGTGATCTATATTATTAATCGCTTTTTAAAGGCAAGTCCGTGAACAGTCTGCACTCTGCAGTATCAAATATCACCCGATATAATTATTATTTCACCGGGAACCAAACTTCTACCTCATACGATAATAGCCCACGATATTTGTTACCTCCTAAGTTATCTAACATATAAAAAATCTATAAAGAGAATCTTCGATCAAAGGAATAAAGTAGGTACTATTAGACGTACTACCTATACTTTATCATTATAATGTTCAAAAGAATTTAATTAGGTCTTGTGTAATATATATAATAGTTAACCAATTTAATTGAAACCTCTTTAAGACCATCCACAGACAAATTACTGTTGCATTTTATATTGAAATAGTTTGTCATCCGGAAATTAAGTTTGCATAACGTAATGGCATCATCAGATTATTTTTCTATTGCCAAAACGGATACTTTTATTTGCCTTATAAGTTGCATCAAACATCACTTCTATAATTGGTACTTACCAAATAAATATTTATAACTAGATCGCGGTTCATTTCCACATTTATACTTTAAATTATACACCAATATAGTTACTGATAATTTTGTATAATTTCCATTTTTCTTTTTCATAATCAATTATAAATTAGTAATATATCGAAAATTATCTAAATCTGTACCTATATTTGTGTAAATATGTATAACGATTAAATTTTTCAATATAACGTAACTTTACCCACCTAAAACTATAAAATTTTAACCTTAGTGAACCAGAAAAAAATTACTTTTCTAGGATTAATATATAATCCGAGAATTACTAATTTATATGATAAAATAGAAGCTTTAGTTTGTTTGTTTTTACCTTTAACTCTTTTTATTCTATATTATCCGAGGTATACTTACTTTGCAAATAGAATATGAGTGATTGTCACAGCACTTCAGTTTTCTTACCGGATATTATCGTAAGAATTGTTTTGTGTACGCGGTTGTCATGGCAACGAGTTAAGATTAAATATGGCGTACGTGCGCGTCGCTGTGTACGATAGTACTGGCTCGAGTAGGTTCACTTGCGCCGGCCATCGACCACCACCCAGCTCTTCTGAAAGCGAGAGGAAGACCCAAGCAGGTTTTTATTGTGCGAGGACACACGCGCATATTTCTAACCATTGCTAAGTTTGTTCACTCACGAACATTAGTCATGCTGTATTTTAACGTAATCAACGAGTATTGTCCAAACTTATGATTCTATATAGCCCTCTCCTTGAGATGTCTCCAAAATAGTTGCATAAACATTACCGGTAATGTAATCACTGTCAATTGGTGTAATTTGTTACGAAACTTATGTAATTGTAACAAAGTATTCACTGGAAAATGAAAAAATATACTTTTATTGTCTTTATTAGCACAAAATAATTTGACAACGGTTAAAAATTAAAATCATATACACCATTAATAAATAATTAGATATTAAATTTAAGCTAAATAATTATCTAACATCTAATTAAACAAATTCATACAGAAAAGTACCGTCTAGAAAGTAAAAACTACATATGATATTACTATTTTCTATGTGGCTGTATATAACTTTGTAAAAAGAACTAAAAACAAATGATATGATGCATTCTTGTAGTGCTCAACACAAAAACCGCGAATCGCGTGTTGTGTATCGCCCAATAGTGACATTTTGTATTATTATTTAACGTAACATGTTAGTTAAAAATTCACTTGGATGAAATACAAGATATCACTGTAAGCAACAACACTATAAAATAACACTAACAGAATTTAACAACTAAAAAAGCAAATTAACTACAAGTTATTTGTAAATTATGCATAAGCAATATAAATACACAAAACAATTTATAAACTGAATTTTACATATCGTTAGGCCTTTGACCCAACTATCTTAATTTATGATATCTACAGCCGCTACATATTTACTGATAATACTTATACTATAGCACCTTTGTATAACACAGATTTACACAGTGTTGACGACTTGGTCGAAGCACTTAGCGACAAATTGTTCTTTGTCGTCCAACTTTCTGACGTCACCGCTCAAGTGACGGGTCAACATGGCGTTTTCGAGAGCCGCAAGTGCTTCTGAAGTGAACCGCTTGCCTTTCAGATGAGTTATCACTGAAGCCTCCCCGTGGAAGCCGGACTCAATTAAACCGGGCGGGATGTTCAGCGTGACGTCATTAATTAGGCCTTTCTCCACAGTCATGGAGATAATCAACTCTTGAGAGGCGGAATAGAGTTTGGACGAGAGAAGTTCCGGTGGCACGGGGAAAGAGCGGCTAACAGTGAACTCTGGTGTTCTGCCATAGCACCATTCCCATGTCGTCAATTCCTTTCTTAATTCTGCAATACCTGTCAGTAGATAATTTAAATGAGTATAAAGTCACAAGTTGCTGTTGTTGTTGAAGTTACTCCACATTGTAATATTTATAAAATCAATAAATCGACAAACATCGCGATTTATTCGCACCCATTTCATCCCAGAAAAAACTAGAATCAGATTCTGTCACAATCTAATGAAAACAGACTCAAATTGAAAAGCCGTCAAACTAAACGAGAAATTCAAATATGAAACTCAAGACGTGTTTCGAGATTTGTATGAGAAAAATATATAAGTACCTGGATACCAATCTTCAGTGGGGTTAACGAATTGGAAACCCCTCTGTTGCGATATATGCCTCTCACCGGCATCTTCGATATGAAGCGCCGGTGTGCGAAGGTACTCGTAGCCGATGGCCGTCTGAAGGCTTTCCACGGTTACCCTATTGTCCAGATCGGCCAGATTTACGACAGGAGACGGCGTTGACGGAGTCGCTGATGTCTGTATGCCATGCTATATAAAATTATGGGCCCTTAACTTGAGTGATTGGAGGGGATAGGTCAGGTTAGTTACCACACACATGTTAGTAGTTTATTCTTAGTCAAGTTTTTATCTTTTTAACCACGATTGTTAAAGTATATAGGGAAGTATTTTATAAGTAAGTGTTTGTTTTTTATAAATTCGTTCATAAAACAATATGAAACTTTTATATTATTGAAACTAAATAGCCTTTGAAGTATTCATAACCCAGGTTTACTAATAAACTAATATTTTCATGAGTCATGGTGCATGATGCGACCTCTAACATAAATGAATAATTTTAAATCCTTAAATAGTTTCAAAACCCTAATGAGCCCTTTATTCATGTAAATTGTAAACAGTTACTGAGCAAATTAAAAAACAAAAGACTGCTGTACACTTCATTAATCTAATTAATACTAAAGGTCTATACCAGTATGCATTGTTAATGTGTTATTGCTAGTTTATGTGCATACCAGTAAATTGTTGCATGAGGAAAGTACAATTTACTATTGATCTTAGAGAAAAATTTACAAAAAAAGGAATACTGTCATAAACATAAAGCATATTTGTTATTGAAAATCTAGTCACAAGTAGATATTAAGAACTCACCTCTCGTTTAGCAAGTGCTTTGCTGAGATCAGCCTTGTTGGCGTTGACTAGAAGTGTGCAGTGATGGTACGCTGTTAAACGGCTTAGCTTAGCAGCTGTTCCCGATATCTAACATCTTAATTAAGAAAACTTACAGACATTACAATTACATTAATATAGGCTTTCATAGTAATTGTAACTTTATACAATTAACACTTATTATGCATGAAGGAATATTTTTGATCTGATTTCATTGAAAATTTATCTTTAACACTAATATTTTAATAGATGTAAAATACATTTCTATTATTATTTATACTAATTTTAAAAAAGGTATTTTTATGTTTAAAAAGGATACTTTGTATTTGTCCCTAACAATAATGTCTTGTCTCTCGTTGATAAGAGATTTTATTCCAAAGCTTCTATACAAGGCCCTCTTGATAATTTCTAAGTTATATTTTCTATCATATCGGTCTCTATGGGTAAAAAATGTTATGTTTAGGTTTCCTCGGTCATGATACACTGTGCCTCCACCACTATTACGCCGAGCAAGGGCAATTTCCTTATCACCTAAGAAAGGTACATTAGCTTCAAGCCAGGGGTTTTGGTGTCTTCCAATAACAACACAGGGCTCATTCCGCCACACCATCATAACATGGTGATTTGAAAAATCCATATTACGGTACATCCAATCTTCCATTGCTAGATTTGTGTAGATGTCTGTTGATTGTGACATAAACACAGACTTTGTGATTTCCCTCTCCGGTGGTAATACCTGAGCCTCTTTTATTGGTTTGGCTGAACTTGTAGCCAGGCTTCTTGCACTTGTGCGTCTTGTCAATCCAGCAACAACACACATGTTAGTAACAACAAACTTCCTCATCATTGATTGAGACATTTTCTGAGCAGATACTTTTCTATATGAATGAGTGATTGGCAGTTTTATGCACTTACAGAAGTACACACACTCTATTCTTGTATTTTAGATATTTATTACTAGAGTTCAAACACTACAAATCAGTGATTAGCACTTAGCAGGAAGGCAGGCATCTGTATCAGCTGATGAGAGGGAGATCAGATATTCATGTAGTGCAATTGTTTGATGCAGCCACTTCCAAGTTTGGTGCAGGGCGTTAATTCGAAAACGAATCCCCAAACAGTCTCGACAGTCACTTTGCATTCCTTCTCTTGAAGACAGGTTGAACAAAAAAATCACAAATCAAGTATATTTAAAAACGAAATTATAATCACAAAAAACAATGACTAAAAATGGAAAAAGGAAAAAAAATATCGTAATAAAAGAGAATATCGCAAACGAATGAATTGTGCGACAGCGTAACAAAATATGAATTAATTACCTTCTGTCGCCTCATTTTATTCAGGCTGATAATGATAAGCGGGCCAAGGAACCGAGGGGTCGAGCGAGGGCATATTAAGTTCACATAAAGAGTAGCAAGTAAATACGCCTGATAAGAAACACGACTCCGCCACGAGCGCACTTCTTTTATCTTGCGTTGTCGTATAGCTGAAAGTATCATTTGTCATTTAGTAATAGTATTTTTCATTTATATAGTATAGGTAATGTTCTACATCTACATTACCTATACTTTATTAACGAAGACTTTACATCACAATAAACAATAGTAAATACTTCACCTTCTCAAGTGACGTTTTCTAAAATATTCTCTACAATAATATATTTAAAAGCGAGTTCTAAATTGCCTTAAAACTTAAATGAAAAATTAATATGTTTAACCCTAATTTGTAAAAAAAAGATATTGATAGTAATTTTAGTAAGGTATTTTTTTTTTTTTTTTTTTTTTTTTATAAAGTTCACTAAGGTATGTGCACGTGTGTTACTACTTGCAAAACTACAAATTCGCTATTTTATAAAAGAAAAAGACTCACATGAATAATTTAAATAATATATGCTATTGAAATAAATAAAGGCTTGATTTTATTTTTGTTTTCTGACCGTCAAAGTATATTTTTATAATTAAATGGTACTAATGAAAACAAAGTATTACTTGTTATTTAATGAAGTAGTGAGAAATTTAAAAGGTAAACTTTCTTGGGTTATCGTGAAAGTTTATACCATTTATTATCTTTGTGATTAGCATCTTTTTCTTACTTTTCCGCAAAAGTCAACCTCAATGGTCATACTATATTAAAAATGTCCAAAACAGACTGTATAAGTTCTTATATTCTCTATGGCAAAATATTCAGCTGTCAAAATTTGACATATAGTATGTTTTTGACTTTGAAGTTTGACAACGGATTACATTTTCGACTTGAAATTTGCTAATTGCAATTTGCTTTGCAATTGATTTGTAAATTGTATGTTAGGTAGTGTATCAAAATTTACTGTGTTTAAAAAAATAGTTTCGGACCTCTAAACTTAAAACAAACCAATTATGGCCCTGCGTACAACAAAGGTTTTATATAACAGTCAGTATTTCTTACATAAAATTTCACACAACTAATATTTAAGTGTTATATAATAATTTATCCCTTTCAGACAGCCTGAGGAAGTGGTGCTACAACCTCGCGGGATTTAATAAATATGGTTAGTATTTTTTTTTTAAAAGGATTTTCTGGTGTGTTCTTTACTTATATGAAGCCTGCAATCCCGAATTATCTACATACTATATAATTTGCCCATTTTTTGCTGTAAAAGTTGATATTCCTATAGAGATTGTTAACATTTTTAATCATAAACAGGGTTACTAAGGGACGATTGCCTTCACGAAACTGAAGAAGTTACTGAGGCACTTCGCCGTTTACCTCAACATGTAGTTGATGAACGCAATTATCGTTTAGTTAGAGCTGTCCAATTGTCCGTTACTAAAACAATTTTACCAAAGGAGGAGTGGACAAAATTTGAAGAGGACAAACTCTATCTAACACCAATTGTTGACCAAGTCAAAAAGGAAAAGCAAGAACGTGAAAACTGGGAAAAAAATAATTAAAATCAAAGTTTTAGTGCATGATTTTTTGTAGGTTTTAAGTGAAAATGTTTTAAATCAATGAATAAAACTCTTATTTATTATTTTGTTGTTTAATTAGTTTGCCAATAAGCTAATATACATGATTAAACTTAAGAATGTAATAAGGAAAATTGATTTAGTGACCATTATTTATTCTTTTTAAATTTATGATGGATACTAATACTTCTTAATCATTACATAGGAATGTATAAATCTTAAAAATCTACTAGTATAGTCACTATTTCAACAAATATTTGAGAATCATGTCAGTTTAAAAATGAAATTCAATGGTATTTATTCTTATATATTTTAAATGTGTGAATAAGAAAAACTACTTTAATTATAAAATTATGTTGTAGACAAATATAAGATTTGAAAACACAATAATAATATATTTGTTATCAAAAAGTCTGTACAAATATTAATATATTACAAGTATTACTATCAATACATACTGTATTATATTCTAATTTTATAACATTTAGTTAAAAAATATTGTTTTTGAAATCGAGATAACTATGTAATATACTTCAATAACATAACTTACATATTTACTAAAAAACTGAGCACATGACATAACATAAAGCAAACAATTCAATTTGTACATTAAATAGAATTAAAACAGTCTCATAAAAAACAAACAAATATTTTGAATGATCTGAATGATTATGAGTATTTCCAACATTTTATCCTCAATTCATATTTGAAATATTTTAAGGTGTCAAAATAATGTAAGCCACAAACAGAGACAGTATAAACATATATTATACAAAACACAAAATTATTTTTAATTTTACACTGAAGTATTTGAATGTGTTCATTAAAGAATTAGTGTAAAAAAATGCTTAATAAATGAACTATGGTTATTGGGTATACATTAGTTCACATGCAATCTTTAGTTTATTAAAAATAAAGAAATACCCAATAAACAAAAAAATGAATTGTTCTTTAGCATGGAGACGATTATTTCAATGCAAATAAGGAGTTGAGTACCTTTATACTTATATTTAAAAGCAGGCAATTATAAACGGACGCGATATTCCGGACGACTATCGATCGATAAAACAAGATTTTGTGTAGCTGAACTATAAAAAAAAATTTTGAACAAGTTTTTAATAAGGAGAAAAAGGCGATATTCGTGTATATATATACTTAAATAATAATATATAAATAATGGCTCATGAAGTTAATAAATTCATGCTCCTTCTAAAAAGGGGTTCTTTGGCACTAACTTTTAAAGTAGCCTATAATATGGTAGAAGGTTTTGTATAGTTGTTTCATTACATTAGACTTACTATATCTTGTATTATACATTCACATCTTAATTAACGTTTAAATAAAAAAAATTAACATTCAGAGATTTCATTTACATCAAAAGAGGGATTGTAATGATAAAATAAAATATTAGGTATGTAAATAATTTAGTGATATAATTATAAATTCGATATGTTATATGGCAAGGTAATGGCCGGAGAAAATGAATGGAGTAAAAATTTAAGGGGAAGCTAACTCATAGCCACATTTTTATATATAAATTGACATTTCCCCAAATAAAAACCCTACTACTGCCTGTAAAAATTTCGAAATTGTTTGTTTGTGTAAGTTGTATTTTCGACCTTGGCCGTAATAAAGTTTAACCTGTCTTTGGATACTGAGTATTCACCCCTTGCTGTTAACCAAATTTTTTTTGCTAACATGTCTTCAAAAATGTTTTCATTTTGTTTTGACATTTCTACTAGATGCGGTATAAATAATATTTAAATAAAAAAAAATAAGAAGTGATAGTAAATCATAAAGTCATAGATAGCGCTTTTAGTAATTTAAAGTTAATAAAGTTTCTATCCCATATTTTTTAATAAGTAGGCCTTGTGTATTGTAATCCTCAATTTTCTTGTTTCTCATTAATTAAAATGTTATAATGTTATGTTAACAGCAAGAGTTTAGTGTAAATAATAATATTACAACTCTTCATCACCTATAGCTTCAAAAGCGTTATTTTCCACACAGTCCTTGCCAGTTTTGAACGCGACTGAGGCAAATTTCTCTGTTAACTTTTGAACTGAGAATATTTCACGAGAACTTCCCGAAGTGCAAGAGTCTCCATTCTAAAAAAGTTGTAGCACTATTAATCATACAATATGACAGCAATTAATTTATTTTTAATCATAGTCCAAGCATCACATATGTTTGGATTATCATAAAAAATATATTATATATATATATAATGACAATATAGCAATCACTAAATGCATAACACTTTTTATAGATTTTGATAATACATTAAACTAATAGGTAAAAAATAGGTTTTGATGAAATCATCAGTTAAACGGGCTAAAAATTTAGAAATATTATACAGGAATTTTAAGATACTTACTATAGAACTAAGTGTATCGCTAGATGATGAAGGTGTTATAAGTTGACTGGAGCCATCCCGACGTAAGTAGGTGAGACTTGCTCGTTTACAGCGTGGGGATATAGGACCCTCACCGTTCTTTTGACGCATCAACTCATCGACTATTGACTGGACATTAATAAAAGGTGAATTGTATGACAGACTGGTTACATAATTAATAACACAAACAATTTAACTGACTTTTATGATTTTAAATTTTGGGGATTCATCCGAGTCCCGAAATAGCTGAACAATTGATATAATGTTGAAAATTTGAGTTCTTAATAATCAGTTTGACTAATATGAATGCTAAAGATCTTTTTAATAAACAATTTTTATAAACAAAGCCATATTACCTGTAAACATACACTGATAAAAATTGCATTTTCAGTCTTCAATGTTACCCAAATGAGATTATCCTTGCTTATAAGATATTCAAATGAAAGCTCAAAGTTTTTTGTTGGTTCTTCTAGTAAAGATCCATTATGTGAATGGTCCAGCTAAAATTTTAAAGTTTAAAAATCTAGTGTGACAAAAAGAACAATGTATAGGTATAGTATACTTTTAAACAAAGTCGTACATACAATTTTTTTTGTTAAACAAAATGCAACATGAGGTTGCCTAGATTTTGCCAGGAGAAAGTTAATAATAAGTCAGACTTACCGAATGTAAAGTTGTGATACGCCAACAACGCATTCGTGTTACTTTATATCTCTGTTCATGGCTTGGATGTGTTACACTTGTGAGTGATAATTCCTTGCATGCTAAAGACACTCGTACATTTATTAAAGCACCACCCATGTCACCAATATTTAATGCTTCTGTTAAGCCCTCTCCAGCTGGGATTCGGCCATAATGCCTTAAACTTCTAGCCAACTCAATGTACTGTTTAAAATAAACAATTTAATATCTGTTTATTGAAAAATACTAATTGCTATATCTATAAGACACATTCATTATGCAAAAAAAAGTTGAACTGATATATTGATGAAACATTTGCACTGCAATGATTAAACTATACTTTATGCTATCTTTTTACCTCTCTCTTTTGTTTTTTTGATTCATGTGATGAAAGTATGACTTTAGTCTCAGAATCAGCAGTTATCCACCCTAAATCAATGTCTTCTATAATTTGAAGATACAGTAAATCTATTGAAACCCTGTCTTGAACTAGGTCCATATCATAACAAGGATCCCAATAACTGAAAAGAATTGAAATATTGTAACTCGTCTTATAATACATAAACCACATCAGATAAAAACCATATTTGTCAATTAGAAATTTTGTGATTGCCTGATCTGCACTATTGTTGATAAAAAAATTATATATCTAATATTGCCTTGAAACCATTACATACTTACCTTTTTCTTAACACAATTTTATCTTCAGGTCTAACATATTTCTGGGAAATATATGGTGATTCAAAATCTTCCAATTTCTTAAAACTTGGCTGTCCATCTTTTGCACAACTCCAGTTAAATAGAAACAGTGAAAAGTATTTTGTCAAATCTTTTGGGAGATTCACATAATTACATGCAATGTCTAAAACAGTACTTGATGTATCAGTTGAAGATACTGATAGTGGTATTCTATATCCATTCATCAAAGAGATCTCTATATCAACAACGTGAACTTTGACATTATGTGATTCTTGTTGAGCAGTTAAAAGGAATGTCATTAATATTCCTGAATTAGCCAAAACTGGATTTTGTCCAACTGAAAACAAATAGTAATTAAATTTTATTGAATTTTAAATTTTATAATTAAGGAAAAAGATACTTACTCAGTTGGATATATTTCTCTAAAAGAATTCTGCGTTCTTCTAATTGTGAACTAGTAAGAAAAAACTTTTTTGGTGGAAACTGTGGCAATTTAAAGTAAGAGTATTGTGACTGTAATTGCTCATGCAGACTAAGCATCTGCTTAAAGCGAGCTGTGCAGTGGTAAAATCCATCAATATGTATGTTGAAGCCCTTTAAGATAACAAAAACACAGCATTAAATTACTAAGCTGAAATACGTTGTTACTAATCGTAAATACCTTAAGGTCATAGATAATTCTTTAGAATATATTTTCTACGTAAGGCATTGGTGAAGGGAACTAATTTAACATGTTTATTAACTTCTTGAGTTTACCGTGTAAGTAAGTCCATTGTCGTCTCGAAATTGTTGTAAGTCCGGAATAGAAAAATGCATTTTAAACAATTTTCAATACCATATCATTATTTTAACAAAGTAAGTTTAAAGACTTTTAAAGCTGTAGATTAAACACAAAAGACATTAGATATTTTTTTGAGAAAATCACCAGACGTTAGGCAAAAGCAAAACAAAACTCGCCCACTTTGTGATTTGTTGTCAAATGTCAGCGACAGTAAACCATACAAATTACGGGATACTTTTAATCATAATTTTTTCTGGGCTATTGTCAACCGTCTTTGTCAATTTGGTACTTAATAGTTGAGTGATGAGTCTGTAGCCTGTGTTAGACATAGCATATATACCACATGTAGATGCGACTAAGGGTGACCGATGATGGGTAAAGTATTTTTTATAATTTATTACATGAACAGATGAACATGGTAATTTTCTCGTTTTCTAGCAAAATAGCCTACGTAGATTACTCAGGTAGAAAAGGACACAGAACAAACATATTAATAGTAATTACTATATTATAAGCGTGTAATAGCGTATAATATTATACATTACTTGTTGGTATGCATGTTGAATGTACATATTATGCAGAAAGAGTACCGTTGTGGGATTTCAGAGGCTTGAGATAAAACTACTTCGTAGTATCTAATCTATCATCTGTGATAAATTTCAAATGTCAAATCTTGTTACCCAACTAGAAATGAGAATGCTAGGCGGTATGGTCGAAAGACTATAGCTTGCGCCATGGGCGAAAAAAAAAGAAGAAAGAAATGAGAATGACAATAATAATTTTTGAAATATTTTTTGCGTTATCTTAAATCTTTTTCATTACAAAATACAAAAAAAAAGTTGTATACGTTTTCCCCTAAGTTTTAGTCCGTTTACACTAAACTTGTTAACATCACATACCACAAAATGCCCGGCTTGCCGGTTATTAGTATTCAATGTGATTGGAACGACGCTCTAAGGTGACTTTTAATTTAAATAATGTTAAATATGTAAATATAAATAACTAAGGCTTTACAGTTCTTTTTTTACAGATTACCACAAAGTAAAGTGTGGATATCAATTAAGTATCTGAACATTAACAGTGTTCATGATAAAATTACAACATCTCTCAACAAGCCAGATGTAAAAATTAAAATACACGTACCGGAAAACTTTCAATTGATTTCATATTCAAATCTTAGCCTTGTTTTAAAACATGTGGAATCTGATTTAAAAGTTGCATTTGTAGCTCCAACGAAAGTTCATGATTTGCACCAAAAAGCTATACTTTCTGTATGTGCTGCAGAGAATTCTCTGACTGTATCATCATGTGAGGGTGACCAGCTTTTAGTGTGGGATAGCAGAACTAGTAAGTTAATACTGATATTATGTATCATCAATTTCGGGCGACGGATTTTTAAATCCCTTTTATCTGTTTCTAGATTATTCAAACTTGTTATTTTTTTAGGTGAAACATTATTGGATTTGAAAGGCCATGGTGGTCCTATTTACAAGTGTCGCTTTTTTCCATCTGGAGTTGTGTTAATATCTGCTGGAGCTGATGGATCATGTAAAATTTGGTCTGCACAATCAGGAATCAACCCTGTTACTCTAAAAGGACATGTCATGTCTGTGGCAGATGTTTGTATAATTGATAAGGGAAGAAATGTTATTTCTGTCAGCAAGTAAATATTATGTATCTTTATTATTAATAGTAAATAGAATTACAATAAATAATTTATCTTCTATTTTATTGTAAATATATAAGTTGTAGTATACATTATTAGTAGTAGTAAGGTAGAGTTTTAAGTTTATTAGTATCTTCGACCTAAGTGTCTCCATTTAAATAAGTTTGTAGTGTTAGCATTATGTGATTTATATGTTATAATTAGCTATGAGGCAGACACATTTCTGGCCTGTTTCATTGATGATTATTTTATAGACAAATATATCTTGACTTAATATCTGCGTCTCCCAGGGCCCATTGTGTATTGTCTGCTTAGGGGTCACCTATGCTTATAATTAATATTAGCCCCAGGAGGAAAAAAAGTATATTTATAATGCTAATTTTAAATAATGTCCTCTTAAGAGTTTCATTTACTGCTGTAATCATTAAACCAAAAACATTTTTAGAGATGGTACAGCAAAGTTATGGGATGTTGGTGAATCAAAATGTTTGGATGATGTAATTAAAGATAGAGGCCCCATTAATTGCTGTACATTGACAATAACTCAGGATGAAGTAAATGTCAACAATGATAGAGAGGTAAAAGTAATTGTAATTAAGTAAATTTAAGTTATTTTAGGTAATTGGTGATGATAGTCTAGCAACATTATAGCTTGCATTAATTCATGCACTTATGTTCCATCAGTTATAAAATTGGCTTCAAAAAGCCAGTGGGGTGCAGATCCCTCAGGAATTTGAACTTTTATTTATTTTCTAACTAATTTATTAGCTAAGCCCTAATATACCAGCTGTACCCTGTGGTTAACTCTAAGAGCTGGTTCTTAAATGTGGTCCTGGTCCTTGATCATTGTTTTGTTGTAGAGTTCAATCAATATTTATTATAAAAATAATCTGAATAAATAAAGCAAAATTGTATGTAAGCATGTGCAAGCATACAATGTTGTTCAAAAATCAATACTGATATTGAATAAAGTATTTATTCAGATAATTATTTATATCCTGTAAACACTGTGATGTTATATGGCCTGCCTCAATAAATTGAGTATCCAACTCAAAACTATTTAAAAATATCAATTTATAATATTAGTATGTAATACTTAATTTTCCATGTTGTATGCAAGTCTCTATTCATAGACCATGGGCTGGGGTCCATAAGGGAGCCCATTACATTTAAATTAGCATACAATTTGAGTTTTTTAAATGTATTATTTACTTATTTCAGATTGGAACAGCAAATAAGCAGTTAGTTATTGGTTGTGAATCAGGTGAAATTGTAAGTGCTCACATAGCAAAAAGAGAAGTAATATTTCATAAAAAGTTTGGATCACCATGCAACACCTGCATTATTATTGAACAAACCATAATTGTGGGATGTGCAGATGGAAAAGTAAGTCTGTTGTGGGTACTTAAAACTTTAATTGCAAAATATTAGTATAAGTTTTTTTTTTTTTACTACAAATGAGATGCTAATTCTTTTTGATCAATTAGTGGGAAAATATATATATAGTATTGTCTTTGATTAACATAACTTTTATTCATTTAATAAAACACTATTTTGACCGGATTGAAGTTATGTATTATATATAATCCGGTCAAAATAGTGTTTTATTAAATATATATATGACAGTTGGGGACATGGAGTTTTAAATGCAAAGATAAGGTACAGTTTCCTACATATCTATAAGAGTATAGAAATAGCATTAGCTAAATTTTTTGTTGTTGTAAATTGGAGTGGTAAGTAATTTTAAACGATAATTAAATTTAGGTTTGGGTTCAGCAAGGTTAAACAAATTGTATATAGAATAAAAATTTTAACACAAATATTTTTAATTTCAGATTATCCATTTGAAGGTGGAAGATGGTGAAATAATAAAAGAAATACATGAATCTGCTAGCCCAATTCTTTCTATGGCTGTTCTCATGAATGGCCTGTATGTGGTTGGAAGACAGGATGGGAATTGTGCTGTGCTCTCAGTACAAGACGACTTTAACTCTGTGAGAGTGCAATTAACAGGCTCCGACTGTGATGGCATCAGAGATTTATCATTCAATGGTAAATGGATTTTTGTAGGGTGTCGTGATACTAAAGTCAGAAAATATGACTTTAATCAAATAAGTGTACATTTTAAGTAACAAGTGAAAGACATTGTGCAGATAATATTTTTATTATATTTGATGTATAAACTGCAATTCAATAAAAGCCGCTAAAAGCCCCTACATGTACATGATTTAAGTTGTACAGACTTGATCTGAAAAGGTAATAAATTTAGGGGTATTTATTCAGACATTGAAAATAAATTAAATTGAATGCTTGAGTGCAACTAATTTTGATTAATATTAATCCCTATAAGCCTTTTTGTTTCACAAGTATTAGTTTTGTAAAGAAAAATATTTATTACTGGGCTCAATGCATTATAATGAAAATTTGTGATGATTAAAGTTGACTTACACCAGCAACATTATACATATTTTATTATAAAAAATATAAAAAGGCTGGTCAATTATATTTGATCTTAAAAAGCACAGAACACTACAATTTCTTAAACCACACCTTTGCATTGTCCTCTTTGAAATGATTTTTGTAACTGTTTATACCAAGAGAGAGCCTTTTGTATAAATGGTGCCATACTTTTCTATCTGAATCAACACTTTTCTTTAATTGTAACCACTCTTTCAAATAATCATCTTTATCTTTTTGTGTTTTTATACTATTTTCATCTGAAAGCAGAATTTATTACTGAAATTCAAGAGATATGAAATGCCAGTGGTCAACATAGACTTATTTATACCATTTTGCCGTAATTTTGCAGTTACGATGTTTGTTACACAAATTATCCAATTTAACCATTTTTCCATATTTATAATAACATTATAAAGTCCTTTGCATATAATACGTACCTCGTGTTGTCGTATTGGTTTGTATTCTGGAAATATTATTTTAGTTTTATTTAATAGACATTTATACAATAAGAAGTAATTATTGATATTAAACGCCTGGCACTAATCAGACAAGAAATATATTTTAAATAGAAAGCCCAGTTATTTTCTGTCTGGAACGCACGCTCTACCGAGAAGAGCGCGGGTGTTTCTCTTTTAATTAATGAAAATTTATACCAAATGAAAACTTATGTCACATGTGCTTTGATTTAAAAACGTCTAAAATCTTTTAAGTTACATTACATTCTATATCTCCATAGTATTAAAAAGACATACTTGGATTTAACTTTATTTTCTCTGAATCTGTTTGTATTTGTTTTTCTTTGGTGAGGCATTTAGCTGATAAAACTTCTATTTCCGAAGCAATGTTAATACAAGACAAAACCTTGACTGTTAATTTTCGAGTGTTCTGTGATTTACCGACATCATTTATAAGTATTACTTTACTGTCTCCGTTATCACCCTTTTCATGTGACCTTTTTATGTTTAAGCAAACAGAATCACTTCCTTGTGAAGTTTGATATGTATCTTCATCTTTCAATTCTATAGCCGTATATGTATTACATATATCTCGTAAAATAGTCTTTTGTAAATCATTACTGCCTTTGAAAATTTCTTCACTTAATTTAGAAAGCTCTGCCACAAATTGTTTTTCAACATTTTGTTCCCTCTCTTTTAAAGTAATGGGAGAGGGAATTGATTTCTCATCTGCTTCATTAATGAAACCTAAAGATATTACGGACTTGCTAACGGTGGCAGAAAGTTTAGTTGTTAAAGGGAAATAGTCTTCAGGCCATGTTTCGTCTACATTATCTAAATAAACATTATACAATTTAACAATGCAATATACACATTCTTATTAAGTACATTTAAATTTTGATAATATAAGTGTTTTGACTCACATAGAAGGTGTGTATTTGGAGGGGAAAAATTAATGTGTTTAAAGTAGTTTCTTTGTGAGCTTGATGAAAGTTTTTTGTGCAAAAAGCTGGTCTCATTGTTATTGTACCTATAAAACATAATAAATGCAATTTTAATTTATTTGTCTTTGTAATCTACAAAAAAGTTTATATACATCTTACCTGGAATCACCGTTTATTGACTGTTGTTCGTTTCCTGAAATTTAAATGATATTAATAAATTACTAAAGAATTTATTAAAATACATTATAAAAGCATGGTCAAGTAACAATCCTATCGACTCAATTTCACTATACATATAATTACCGATATTGGTATCAGAAAATTTTACTTTTTTAAAACTATCTTCGGGCCATTCATATGAGTCTTTTAGCTCTAATTGAATATTTTCCATACTGACATTTGTATCTGACCCATATTCGATGGGTAGTTTTGTTTCAGATACTGTGAGCTGATTCCAAGCGTCGTCCTCTTGTATTTGTTCAGTTTTAGTGCTTTCGGGACTTTCCATTAATTGTATTTTTTCTCTAATAGTAACGCTTTCTTGGTTTTCACTATTGTTACTTTCTTTTATGATATCATTATCTGCACCGTGAGTACTTGTATCTTTGGGTAGTACATCGTAATAAGTTTGGTTGTCAAAATCATTTTGGTCGTCTGTATTTTTGGATTCTTCTCTGTTTTCTAATTTGCTAGTATTGCTTTCTGGCGTATTTGTTACATTAAAAACTATTCTGTCAATATTATTAGAGATAAACTCATTCACAGAATCGGCTTGTTCTAAAATAATCATTTTAGGCGAATGGCTACCAGTCATATCTACTGTATTTATTTCATTATTTATATTTATTTCCTCGTTATTGATGGCTATGACTCCTGATACTGTGTTATCAAGAAGATTTTGAACAAAACCATTTATTTGATTGTCATATCCACATATGGTGTCAATTATATCCAATAGAATAACATCTATCATATTGATTTTGTATTCATTTGTTTCGGTAGCTATGTTGTTTATATTTATGTCATCGTAAAAGCTCATTTTTTCTTTTTTGTTTAATGATGAACGTGATGTATTGCTGTCAATTGAATTGAAGCTACTTGTTTCCGATGGATATTTCTCATCAACGTACGATATGCTTTCAGTTTCGCAATTCTCCTGAAAATAACATGATTTAATACATGATATAAACATTGGTACTTACTTTTACTTCATTACAAAGACTTACTACTACTATTGCATCAATCAGATCATCGATTATATCCCATACATGTCCCTCCTTTTCTTCTAAGTCTGAAAATTCAATTTAGTTTATTAATAGTTATTAATATTTTAAGTTGATTTTTTATTATTAATTTTAATTGCCTTCTAAGTCATCCATCATTAACTTAATATCCGAGTCGTCAAGAACACTCGCAATCCAAACAGTCACCTGGAAAATTAAAAAAAAACTATTTTTTACGCAACTAATGCTTAGTGAGGGTATATAAACATGAACATGTTTTAATCAGCATCACGCGAGTGTTTAAATTGAACTGAATGAATGAAATTACTTATAAAATTGTAGAACGTAAGTGAGTAAAAAAAAATTTATTATGAATATGTAAACTCGTCTATCTTAATGCAAATTTTGCGCATGTATTTTTGCGTAAATAGCGTTTTAAACGGCGGCAATGTAAGAAATTGTCAACTAAGTACGTATTCAACTTTTTAATTTAAATATTAGGTCCTTACATATGAAATTGGCGTATTTCGTACTGGCCACTTTAATCACGATGTTCTCCTCTTTGGTAAGGAATTCCAAATTCAAATTTGTACAGCTATTTACTCATGTATTTGTGCTTCGATGACCGTCATTCATTTGTTTTTTTCTTCTATTTTTTTCTGTTTGCGTCACTCATTTTACAAAATGGAAAACTTAAAGTATCGCATTATTTACGAGTACGAGTTCCGCCGTGGCACTAGTACTGCGGAAACGACTCGAAGGGTGAATGATGTGTATGGCGGTCATGTTGCAAAAGAAAACACAGTTTGTTTTTGGTTCTAACGTTTTCGTTCCGGAAATTTCGACCTGCAGAACCAGCCCCGTGGACGGCCTGAGACCCAAGTTGATAATGAAGTATTGAAGGCTATTGTGGAAGCGGATTTATCGCAAACCACGTCGGAGTTAGCTGCAGGCTGCGGTGTTAGTGATAAAACTGTTTTAATTCACTTGAAGCAAATTGGGAAGATTAAAAAGCTTGAACGATGGGTACCTCACGAATTGACTGAAGCAAACCGGCACAAACGCGCGTCGAGCTCGTTACATTACTGAACCGGCACAATAATGAAGGTATTTTAAACCGAATCATTACCTGTGATGAAAAATGGATTCTTTACGATAATCGGAAGCGCTCAGCGCAATGGTGGGATCCTGGCCAGCCAGCCAAATCCTGCCCCAAGCGAAAATTAACCCCAAAAAAGTTACTTGTAAGCGTTTGGTGGACTAGTGCCGGTATTGTTCATTGCAGTTTTCTCAAATCAAACAACCAAGGCTGGTCAATCGCTCCACGCCACTGCTACTTCACGACAACGCTAGACCACACACTGCACAACAGACGGCTACCAAATTAGAAGAGCTTCAATTGGAATGTCTAAGACATCCTCCGTACTCCCCGGACCTTGCTCCAACAGATTACCATTTTTTTCGAAATTTGGACAACTTCTTGCAAGGGAAAAAATTTAACTCTGATGGGGCAGTCCAAATCGCCTTCACAGATTTTATTGATTCCCGTCCTACTGGTTTTTTAGTAAAGGGATCAATGAACTACCTATGAGATGGCAAAAGTGCATAGAAAACAATGGTTCATACTTTGATTAATTAAATATATTATATTTAAAAATATTCGACTTTTTGTTCCTCCCATACAAAACGCCAATTTCATATGTAAGGACCTAATATTTTATGCTATTGCATAGATTTTATCGCGGGCTTTGAGCGCGGCGACCGAATCAAGAAATTCCGTAACGAAAAAACCTAACACACGATGACGTAATATAGGTGCGGCCAATACGCACGAGACACAGACAGAACGCATACTGCGTTTTCACATCTCTCTGACGAGATCGGTGCAGCCGGTGACAAACTATATAGGCGAGTAAGTCTGAGTCTGGTAGAGTGGCAGATTGAATTAATTTACCAAAGAAAAAAAATACTGCATAAATAAATAATTATAATTGCATAAGTTTAAAAAGAATTATGCAATAGCTTTACCGCGGCAGTCCCCGAGTGCCACACGTTTTTTGTTTTAGGTATGTTTAAAGTGCGTTACTATAAGATTCTTAGATTTGTTTTGACGTTCGTTATTGCGACATGTCACGTGATAAGATAAAGATGTTAAAATAAACAACATTTCATGAAAACTATTTCATTAGTTCGTGGTACCTTTTCTGATATTTCGTCTCGTATTGTTTTATGAATGGTATTTCTTTTCCTTTTTCCAAGAAGCTGTTCAATGTCATTGTTTACGATTTCAGTTAGATTCCTTAAACTGAAAATATCAGTTAATACTTTATTTCTTACCCGTTTTGATGTTCATCGTTATTATAATTTTTACCTCGTATGTACTGGTATTCGTCCAGGTGGCAATAACTTCAATACAATTCTGTGTCCAAAAATAGCGCAGAATAATTTTGTTCTATCGATGTTTCCTTTCTTTATAGACTTTAATTTATTTGGTCTGAATAAAGATTAGAAAAATTAAAATTTCACCAACTACTAAATTGTATAAATTTAAAATTGATGTAACGCCAGAAATTACCTAGATCGTTTGGCTTTGTGAGATTTAAAGCAATAAATTGCATCATTAATATGGACCACGGCTCTTTCATCCATAACGTGTTGTCGCAACCTTTCTACCTAAAAAAGACAATTAATAAATGAGGTACAAAACCTCTTAAACGCAAATATTAGAACGTATTATAGTGTTTAATGGATAATAATTAATAAACAATTAAAAAATGAGGAAATATATATTAGCATCTAATTTCGCATTAGCCACTACCTGTATTCTTTGGTATTCCATTATTAATCTATAAATCTTTTAATAGTAATAAATTAGTTTTTATTGTTTATTTAGCCAATAATTTCTTTCCTGATTAATATTAAATTATTTAATATTGAATATCAATGAAAGGTATTCACTATTAATGTTGTTACGAATTACAATTACGCGAAAAAGTGCATCACATACAGTGGTGGTCATACAATTAGAAGCACTTCTAATGAATAAAGAAAGTATAACTTCAACGTACCTACAAATGTTCGTAAAAAATATACACATTCAATAATTAATAATCATGCTATAATATTGCCACTCAAATAAGAAACTAAGGAGTTTCGCTTTAGATTAGCATTTAATGAAATGCATAAAATATAAAACATATCTTACTTTTAATTACAAAATGAGTCTAAAGCGGGCCATAGACGGACCGCATGTTGCAGTTACTTACGAAATAGCTGCTATCCACACCTATCAATAATTATAAATATTTTTGAAGTTATACTTCTTTAGGCGCGTTATGAAAAATTTATGAGAGTGAAATTTTACGATGCGCGCGCACCGTTACACAAAATTAACAGAATGAAGTTGCCCACGGAAGATGCTACGGCGTTGGACATAATTGAAAAAAAAAAACATTCGAATAATATAATTTATGTTACACTTAATGTAAGAGAATAATAATAATATGTAATTAATTATTTGCTTGCAATCAAAAACTATTTTTAATAATGCCAAAGAAGTATAACTTCTTACGCGCGTACATAAGTAACGCACCCTTTTTTTAGTGGCGTATCCTTAATTTCAATAAGCACTGCACTGTCTGCAACGACGTGGCATCGATTCCATCAATTGCTTCTACAAATGGTACATATATGTAGTTCGTTTTGACTGGTGTTACGTTTGTTTGAGACTTTCTTTTTAACAATATACCAAACATTTTCTATCGGGTTTAAATCCGGACTATTTGCTGGCCAGTCTAAAACGGATATATGCTGTTCGCTAAGGAAACATTTGACGCTATTGGCCGTGTGTTTAGAGTCTTTGTCATGCTGAAAGATCCAGGGTATCATTGTGTGCTCTAAGATATTTTTGTATTGCCTTTGCTATTGATTCATTATACCTTCAATCTTCCGAACGGGTCCAACTCCACATCCGGAGAAACACTCCAAACTTGAATGTTGCCACCGTGCTTGATTATACTCCTTGTGTATTTATAATTAAAAGCATTGTTTACAGGGCGTCTAACATAGCGCTTTTAATCGGAATTTACCATATATATTTTTGTTTTATCTGACAATGATTTTTTTTTCCATTCTCGTACAGTCAAATTAACATATTTTTTTAGCGAATAATAATCGCTTTACCGCGGCAGTCCCCGAGTGCCACACGAATAACAATTCTAATTACTAATACCTACTTGTACATGCGAATTAGACAGTCAGTTAAAAAAAATATTAAATTTCTAATCATTCCAATAAAATTTAATTAACTAGGAAAATAAAAAGTTTAATACATACCATGAAGTTAGGGAGAGTCTTCCCTCTATTTCTCCAGGTATCAAGACATTGACGCTTAGTCGGAACAGCTAGTTCTGCTATTCTCATTGGACATCTGCTATACTTCTTTGTATTTGTACCTCGTTTACGTTTGCCATGCCTATATTTACTAAAGTAAAAGGAAGTTAATTTTAAACTATGTGGCTATGACATTTCGTATTTCATAAAAACAAGAAAGCTCCATAAAAATAAAAGTAGAAACGATTTATTTGATTGGCGTAATTTTGATTGTTTTTTAAATTTTAAAAATGTCTATAATAATTAAATCAATTATATATAGGTTATATCGTATATAACATACTTCATCTTCTTTACAGAGCCGTTTATATTGATATTAACTGGTGTAAACTGTTGTTGATTTTTACTACAGTTGGGTTTCTCCTCCCGTAGCTTTGCGCCGCGAAGGACTTCGCTTTTCACGCCTGTGTTGGCCCAAAATTCGGTAAAGTCTAGGGAATTTGTTTCAAAATATTCTGAAATGACAATTTAAAACTTATTGGACCATGTTGTTAATAAAGCCTTTTACTAAGTATAAAGTATTTATCACGCAATGGAAAGCGACAATGGACCTACATATTACTGTCCATACTATGTTTTATATAATTTATTGCTACCCATAATTCTTGTTCTTTGGAGAAAATATACTCTATTTTTACATACCAGAACCCATTTTATTTTTATCAATTGTATAAGAGACGTGATAACACAATTTACAGAAAATTTAAGGTCTTTGTTTTATAATACAAATCTCGTAGGCTCAGAATTCCAAACACGTCGAATCGATAACCCCGTCCTTTGGTTAAAAACCACTTACATACCGAAACTACTGAAAGTAGCACTTAATTTTATTAACATAAGTAGTTTTAATTATATAAGCTTAATTATATTAATCAACTCGTAAATTTTTCGTAGTTTTAACAGCGTTTTCTTAAAAAGTTTGATTTGAATTTTTAAGAACGTACAAACGGATCGGACAATTTTAAAATACTAGCTGACTACCAAACTTTTTTTGCCATGTAATTTTAATGTTAGAATTATATTTTTCTAGGGGGAAATAGATTGTATCTGAGTTAGTTAACATAAAAAAAACAAACTAACATGTTAGTGATAATTAAATGATACTAGCTGACTATCCAGACCTACTGAATTTGATTTGATAAAATCGGTCAAGCGCAGGAGATATTAATAGAGAATTTTATATATTTATTTAATATAGCACAAAATAACTATCTTTGTTTTACTTGATACAATAAGTATAAAAAATCAGCAGGTGTTTGCAGTGTGAAGATTTAGTAGATTCACTTTTTTGGTAGATTTTGAGGTCTGAAAGAATTTAGAGGATTGGTATATTTTAGTAATTCACCTTCAGTTATTCTAGTACTTTTTTGCATATCAATAAAAAAGGTAATAAAACCAAAAATTAATGTCTAAAAAATAAAATGTTAAGGAGTTTAATGACAACATTATCACAAATAGGGCAATGATAGTAGCAAATCCCTTATTTAAAGTTGGTTATGTAAATCTACAAAATTTAACGTTATTTCTCAAAGGATCAGACCCTTATTCATAAATTTGAAACAGACATACAAAACATGATGAGTTCCATTTTGAGTTGCTTTATGAAGATAAATTATATAAAAACCACGCCCGCTGCAGTCAATAGATCTGGCACAAGTATGTCAAGTTAATGACTCAAAATTGCTTTTGCACTGTTACACCAAATAAAGAGAAAAATTTACTTTAAGTATATTTATACATTTTTGTTTAAGATTCCACGTTTTATCAAGAAATCATTCCTGTTTTACGTTGTAACGATAGCAGCAAAAATATATAGATTTTCTGTTCCTTTCGGTAGAATTCAGCAGTTTGTAACCTCCACAGTATAAGATTATATACAGCAGGTGTTATGACTTATGAGGCAACTGTAATCTGTGGAGGCAATAACCAATAATAAATATTAAAATCTTTGTTTAGCGAACAAAAGTAATAAGTATATTACGGCAAATATACAATTGCAAGTTATTTCAACGTGTTATAACAGATGTGATGTGTTTATTTAGGTGCGATGATTTATTTAACTTATAATGTTGGCTTTCAAATTGAAATAATATTAAAATACTAGTTACTCGGAACTCTGAAGGTAATACTGTGATACAGTGTATAGTATGTATTATAATAATATATCATTCACAGGAGTCGGGACTCGGGACTGACACAGTGTTTTGGTAATATTAAGCTCGAACGGACGTAATTATTTTCTTACACTTTATAAGCTTAAAACTTACGAATTTAAAAATAATCTATGAATTTCGTAGATACAGCATTACTTAAAAATCACAAGTTCATTGCCCCGTGCATTTGGTACCGTTACCTGAGAATACAATAACATCTGTTATTGACTAGTTCAGAACAAAAGACTTAAAGATGTGGTCGCATTTAGAACGTGGCAGTTCCCCAGTAGATTGGTGTGAATCTAACTATTCTATTACACCTATGATAGCAGAGTTTGTTAATACTGTAAGTAACATTTAATTATAATATATTATTCCACAACACTCTTCATTATTTTCTATTAAATAATTAATTTGGACTAATAGGTTTTCTTAATTTAATTAATTATATTTTTCAGGTAAGCAATGTTCTCTTCTTCTTACTTCCCCCAGTGTTAATACACCTGTTTCAAAGCTATGCAAAGTTCTTTAATCCTGCAATTAATGTCTTGTGGTTGTTGTTGATGGTGGTTGGGTTAAGTTCTGCCTATTTTCATGCTACCTTAAGTTTAGTTGGTAAGTAGTTAAATATATTGTATAACTAAAATATATGAATGTAAACCTAAACTCTTAGCAAATCTATTTACTTACAGGACAACTTCTGGATGAGTTAGCAATACTTTGGGTGTTCATGGCTGCATTTGCAACATTTTTTCCAAAAAGATATTTTCCAAGTTTCTTAGGTGGTAATAGGTAAGTTTATTTTCAATGTATAATTCAGATAACACTTAGTTGCATATTATATTTAAGGTATGTTGGCTCTAAATCATCTTGGGAAAATTATTATTATGTAAACCATAATCTTACTACGAAACCCATTGTTAACCTACTTATTATTATTAACTGATAAAGTGATGTGTAGAATCCTGCAAAAGCTGTTGTATAAAAATGAAAATTAGGCTACAAATAGTTGGTAGAATGTTGACATTTATATATTAGTCGTTTTCCTCTTGATGTTTTACATAAATCTATTTCAACTTCATTAACCAACAAATAACTTTAAAGTAAAACAATTGTATATTTGCTATATAGAAGCTAACATTTGGTGGCTGAGTATTGCATGACTAGGAATAGTTTAGTATGTTTAAACATCTTATCATAATTTGAAGGCTAAAGTGCACAATGAAAAGTGTAACGCTTGTAATCACTCTAAATCTACAAACTTTAGGATGCAATTTGCTTGATTACAAAAATGTTGTAAAACATCTAATCTTTTTAACTCATTATTGGAATTATTTTTTGTAGTGTTCAGGGTTAAGAGTGGCTCGCTTTACCCTACCTAATATGAAAGTAAATTAACAGTGTGTTAATAATGTTAAATGCTAAAATTAATATTTTCTTTGATATTTTAGAAGTAAAACAAAGTAATAATTTACTAAAGATATTTAAAATATATATGATTTTCTAAATCATTCCAAAAATGAACTGAAAAGAATTGCCTGAGTGGCAGCAGATAGGTATAGATTGGTTTTGTTTGAATTCGGTACATTTACTTAGGATTATAGTAGTTAAAAAAATGCGCGCAAAGAATGTATTAGATAAAAATAGCTAAAGATTTTCAAATATAAAGTACAATGCAAATGTCCTCAGATATCGCATTGGTATGTGCTAACAGTGTTGTCCTATTTGACCCTCATCAGAATTAGGTAATTGCCTACAACTGGTGATAAGAAATGCCTATTGACCTTTAATATTGCGTGTGCAGAATTCGTAATCCGCAATCCGGGAGTCATACGTCGTATGAATTAATGTAATAAAATCTTATCGATAAGTTCGTGCCGATTTCTCAGTTATTTTATTAACGTTTCGCCTTATGTTTCTTGCATTTTACAACAATTAATCTTCGACATGTACTGCAAAGGTTTCATATAAATTAGCGAAATTATTTTAATGTAACGAACCTTACTGATCTTGCACCCTCTTGTACGTCATGTATACGTATCTATTAGACACTAAGATACCACTTAAGCAGGGAATGCAATCCCGATCCCGCGAGATCTCGTGCCATTTTAGATTTTTAGATCAATCCCGAGGCATAACATGACGAAATCTAGTAGGATTAACGAGATTAAGTAGCAGTTGTATCAGAAAAGATCTGATCAATGAACGAGCGTATCTCTGAGCGTCGAATAAATGCATCCAGAACGTAGATTGTTATTATTACTTTGAACAGTTGAAAGGCCATGAAATTTTCAATTTTCCTAGCAAATATATCGTAGGTACGGTAGGAAATTTAAAAATACGATCAAACGATTATATTGTCATATATCCTTTTAAACGCCTCCACTGCTGGTAAGTGGTAATTGAAGAGGAATGTATGTGCTGCTGCTATAAAAACCACCACGACTCTTCAAGAGGAAATAGAAGAGATGCTGAGAGCAGCTTAAAGTCCTTCGCCTGTTTCAGCGAGATTAGATAGATTAGAGTCACTCATAAAAAACAGATGAATCTATGTCGTTACCTTTTTACAGTTCGCTTATAATAGCTTACTCATGCTGGTTTCCATTATTTAAGGTATCTGCATGACATACAAAACTTGTTTTGTTTCAGGAGATTGCTAGCATTATATGCTAGCGTATTCTCAGTGTTATCGACGGGATTTCTCGTGATGCATCCGAAAGCCAATGCTTTCGCTCTGATGACTCTTGCAGTCCCAGCACTTGTATTTCTTTGCAAAGAATTGAAAAGGTATGTTTTTAGGTAGCTTTTACCCATGCATATCTTATGATTACTGTTTTGTTTTTTATTATTACAAATTCAGAGGTATGTATAGTCTCAAGTGCCTTATAAAATGTAATGCAAACCAATATGGCTACACTGATATTAAACATGTGTATATTATTTTACTCCATAACGCCTTTGTCATACATAATTTTGTCTTGACTTTGTCATACATAAACTATCAAATTGCCAATTGTACCACCCGTCTGCCCAGAGGAGGATTTGCAGACCCGCTCTAGGCCCCAGGCCATGTCCCGCCCCTTTCTCAACACCTATAGACGAGATACAAGCTCATAAATTACGTGAGGTGTTTAAGAGGGCAAAATAAATCTTACGGAGAGGGGGCTCCAATTCACCAATTATTTTTCTAGTAAAAAAAATAGGAAAGGTTGACTCTAAGTCTATCTCAACTTCCCCTAACTCAACCAAACCAAATTTCACTTATTTTGTTTTATCTAAAAAAACATTTTTTTCTTTTCAACCACACCTTTGAAAAACGGGGGAGGGAATAAAATTCCCACCCAGGAGGAGGTAAGAAAATTTAAAAAAACCTCACGTAATTTTGACGCCCCTAATTAATTAATTTACTTTATTGCCCACCTTTTTGATTCTGAAAATTTGTTGACGTTAAAGTAAAGCTGCTAGTTTATAATATGTATTTTCCGAACTTTTAGGGATGATTGGACATTTAAATAAAACATTTAAAACGGTTTTAGGCTTTTTTTATTAATAAATGTTTTACAAAACTCGTCTGCACTTAGGTAAGTGCAGCAAAATCATTTATTAAATCTTCGCAATCCAATTTGCTTAAAAAATCCTGGCCTTATCTTCGACTTCTGAGTTGCTAAGATTCGTAAAAAACCACAGAGGGCAGAACATTATTGGATACAATTTTACAAATATAAAAAAAAAATTGGCACGATTTGCCGCCCTTGGCATCTTGCCGCCCTAGGCCCGGGCCTACTGGGCCTTAGGGCAAATCCGCCTATGCGTCTGCCTAAAATTTTCTTAAACAATTCAAACAATAATCAAATAGTGATATTTAATCCGAGCACGATGTAACACGTTACCGATCTAACGACAGAATTGTGATTCCAGAGTAAAATGTCCGCGCGTTTACCGTCTTGGTCTGCGATGCGTTGCTGTGAGTCTTCTGGCAATGTTTTGCTGGATCATCGACCGAATGTTCTGTGACGCCTGGCTTTATATAAACTTTCCATACCTGCATGGAGCCTGGCACATTCTTATCTTCATCGCAAGTTATACAGCCTTAGTTCTTTACGCCTATTTTAATGTTTCTGAAGAGAGGCCGGAGCAGAAGCCGCAATTAAAATACTGGCCGAAAAACGATTTTGAATTAGGAATACCATATATAACAATAAAACATCCATACAAAAAGGATAATTTAGCTATTTAATTTTTTTATAAAAAATTGACTCATGTCAGTTTATAGTCTGAAATAATTGTTTATCAGTATATTTTATCTGTGATGTATAGTTTTACTAACAGTGATTGAGTGCAATTTGTATTTTTTAAGATTTACAAAGTATTTATTTTTAAATGTTTTATTTAGTCTCTAAATCAATCACAAAAGGTATACCCTTTTTTTGGTAGCTAGGTACAAAATTGATGAATACAAAAAAAAATTAATTTGTTGTACTGACTTATCTATAATTTATGGTATAATATTATGTAAAATGACATATTGTGATGAAATAAATTTTATAATTTGCTACAATACACATGCATTTTGTTTACACACTACGTTTACGCATTTTTATTTCTGGCGGACAACACTTTAACATTAAAATTATCAGAAATATTGTAGGATAAATGACTTGGAGAATATTTTTTTGAGAACATACGTAATTGTGGAATAGATTATGTTGTGTGTCTGATATGTACATAACATATCAGATTCTAAGGATTTGTTGGAGCCCTACATTCAAAAACATTGTAGGTGATTCAATTATTATCTATTGGTTTTAAAAACATTTAGGAATAAAGGTTTGGGTGGAAAATAAAAAAAAAAACTTGAAAAAAAATTTATTATAAAAACTTATTAAAACAACCATCCCAAGAATAGTTTTTAAAAAAATGCAAGGTGTACCAATTGTTAAATAAACTGTGCGCTAGAATAACATAATTATTTAAAATTATAAAGTAGTGGAGCATAAACATTTTTGTAGTAAACTAGCAACTCTTAAGCTAATGTAATAATGGAATGGCCTTTTAAAATGGCAGTATAAAAATAAACAGATTCATAAATTCAATCTATTTTCTATTCACATTCCCACACCACAAACATTAGTTGGAATGCAACATTTGCATAACCAGAAACCACAATTTAGGTAAAAAAAATGATGAATATTACATGTTATAGTAATTCAACACAGATTTAGATTACTTGTACAGAATAAAAATTTAATTTAGATAGTTATGTTAATTTGAAACTAAAACTGTGAAATCAATTGAGTCATTCTTTGATTACCATATATCATTCCTGTACCATTTTAGTTAGGGTGAACTTAACTAGTCCGAATCAGAAGACACATGATTGTGGTTTCCTGGATGTAAGTGAGAAGAATCCACTTTTTTGCGGGGAAATGTAGTGCCTCCACGATACACAACATGGTTTTTTTCAGTCTCCAAAATTTTTACTTCATGTAGCAATTGTGGCTTTGGCATTAACTTTTGCAGTTGATCCCAAATAAAAATTGCCAAGTTCTCAGTAGTACTCACCTGTAATTTTATTTGATATATTATGCTTATAAATCTAAACAAAACTTGCTGCTTAAAAAAACTAATTTGCTTACAGATTGTATTAATAAAATAAGCCTCAACATACAATACTTCTTTTACAAGATAAATTCAAGAACAGATCTAAAGGTTAAACTTAGGAGATACTTTGGTATTCTTCAGCACTATTACATTAGTTATCATAATATTATGTTCAAAGAAGCTAGTGAATTTTAGACTTACAACAGCTTTAAAGTATGGCACATCTTGATCCAGATTTTTATGATCAAGTGGATCCATTATTGCATCTTTCATGTATTGTTTCAGATCATGTACATTCATAACCATTCCTGTTTGTGGGTCTACTGGACCCTTTACTGTTACAAGTACTAAAAATAAAGGATAAATTAAGATATTTATTTTTAATGAATGCTAGGTAAATTATGCATTGATTGCATTATTTGTTATATGATAGTCTATTAATTATACAGTCGCAACAAAAATTATAAGCAACATGTATTGGATTCTTGCTCATCCAAGCATATAAGGTGTGCAATATATTAATAAAGAAAGTTAATTAAGCATTAGTATTACCAACATAATTATGACCATGTCCATTAGGATTGTTACATTTTCCATATAATTTTTTGTTCTCTTCATCACCTAAAAAAGGGCTGGAAATATAATTAAAATTGTTATTATAAAATAGTAAACTATTATAGACAAAAATCCGATAAAAAGGTTAAAGACCAAAATAAAGATAATACAAGTTTACTATTATCATCAGTTGCTTAGTTTTTATTGATAATTAATAATAAAAGCTATTAATGATATCGTCGTACAACTATGGAACAAGTTATAATGTCGCAATATTTTATAATTTAACTTCGAAAATAAGCAAACCTGTGTAATCGATGGCAAGAACTGAAAGTTTCTCTTCTCGTTATAGACACGATAGGTAGGGAAGTCATCTCTTCTTCAATTATATTAATAATAGTCGTAGGTTGCGGACCTTATAAGATATAATTATAATACTGTAAAATATTCAAACACGTCCACGAAGTGAAACGTACCTACTAAAAGTAATAAATAAATTTATTTCACATTTCAACAGATTCAAGTATGTTCTTGGACTATGTTCACAAATTGACATTTTGGTTTACTGTCAACTTCTATCCCTCATTTAATGATGGAAGACATTTCTTGTTTTTTGACTTTGACTTAACTTCTGTTGAATGACGATTGAGAGACTTTTTTTCAAATATATTGGACTTGTGTGGACTTTGACTTATGAGTTTTGCTATTGCCATTTTTTGCCTATTTGCTCATTAGAAAGTGGTCTGTTAGATTTTATAGATATTCAAAGGTTTTTTTATTTTATTTTGCTTATTTTAAACAATGTTCTCTCCGTTTAGCAGACAACTGCTTTTCTACACTCAGGTTTGTAAATTTGATAATTTTTTTTTCTCCATAGTAACTTTGTGAGGTTTTTGTATACCCAATTGCCTTCTTCTTTTGTAAACATATTTATGCTTTAGCTTCGTCGCCTCCAAAGCACGTTGGTAATAGCCGAGCATAATAATGAAGCCTTAATCGCTGCCACCCAAAACACTTTATGTGCTGCAAAGAAAATAGGAGGAGACATCACTGTGCTGGTTGCTGGCACCAAATGTGGCCCAGTAAGTTTATATCATTTAGGAAATAAGTAGTAGAAGCCACTAAGAATCTAAGTTACAGTTACTCTTGTATATAATACTCTACTCTGGCGAATTATTAAAGTTACATTGAGATTGAATCTTTTATATATAGTGTATGTTTTATCAATTAATACTTATTTATAGTTTATTTTACTGTGTGCTATTAGCTTTTTCTTGGAATTTCAGGCTGCAGAAGCAGTTGCAAAAGCTAATGGTGTTTCCAAAGTACTTGTAGCAGAGAGTGATGCTTTTAAAGGATTTACTTCAGAGTCCATGACACCACTAATATTGGCAACTCAGAAGCAATTTAACTTCACACATATTTTGGCACCTGCTACTGCATTTGGCAAAGCCATCCTACCTAGAGTTGCTGCTAAACTGGATGTGTCACCTATAACCGATATCATTGGTATTAAAGACCCTAACACATTTGTTAGAACTATTTATGCAGGTAAGTCATCCTTCATCCTGTCCTAGGTTTAATTTATGGCAAAAATATAAAGTATTAAAAATGATAGGGAGTAAAAAAAAACCAAAATAAATGACATTTTTATTATTTTAACATTAGATAAAATTGTATGTGCCATTGGCAAGTTTCAGAACTTCAAACAGTGTTTTACTTAAAATGTATTAATATTTAAAATTCATCCCTATGTTATACTTATTTTAATTTTTAAATAACATTGTTGAAGGTTATTATCTTATCAAAGTTTAAAATTTCAATGATGACAATTGCTAATGAAATTGTTATGATCTTCAAGGTCACTATAATTATGTAACTATAAGTAGTATGTAAATGTCTAGTGATTTAGATCTAAGCTTTCCCAAAATAAAATTAAATGGTATATAATGAAAAGACTGATAGACAATTAGATTTACAAAAAAATGTTTCTTTAAACATTCAAGATAAGGATAGGGAGTGAGGTTAATGAAAAAACAATTTTTCTTAATTCGATTTGTCAAATCGATTTTATTAGAAAAATAATTACCGAAAAAAATCTATTTTCAAAAATCAACATGCTTTTCATTAACAATTTATTAGGTTACAAATCAAATGAAACGATATGAATAAAAAAATAACCTTTTTAAATATTAAAATAAGGGTTAATGTTTCTTTAAACATTCAAGATAAGGAATAAGAGAATCAAATATCATTATTGATACAAATTGTCAGCACGTTAAACGTTTTATCATAATAAAAATAAAATGATGAGCATCCCATCAAAATAACAACCTTATTGTCTCAAAAACTAAAATAAAAATTGCCATAAATGTCCAGTACTATTTTATATTTGACTAGTTTTAAATTAAAGTACTAAAAACAATAATTAAAAACTAAAGGACTAGGTTGTATTCTCAAAAATTAAAATATGAAACAAATCTTTCGTTAATCTTTAAGTTTAAACAATAAAAAAATTCAAAATAATTATTGTCCAGTGTCTCGTTTTACGTAAGAGTAATATTGAAATAAAATGAAATGATAAGTACTAAAGCTAAACGACAACGTTAACGTATTGTTACAAAATGTTCAAAAATTTTACATTTGATTAGAATAATTATTACCATAAATTTTCAGGTAAGCAGTTTAAAAATAATAATTTTGATAATCTCTTTCCTAAAATATGGTTTCGTGTTTTCCTGACCATATTTCCCGCTTTGGAAAATAATCTTTCGGATGGAGCAGAAGTGGCCATCACAGAGAGATGCTTTAGAGCCAATTCGGTTAGCTTAGGAAAAGTCCCTTCAGAGTTCTTCCAGACATTGAGAGGATCTACCATAAGATCCGATAGCGATGCTGCAACGTATAGGTCCAATTCGGTATTTTTGACCATTGATGGGTTAGATGCCAAGACCATTATTTTTTCGTGATGTACCTGCCATGTATCTTGTCCGTTGACCGTAGATTTTGATGAAACAGATGATCCAGAACTAGCCCCTTCCGAATTATCATAATTTAATTTATTGATTTTGAGAACGATAAAGGGTCATCATCTAATTGATTTTGAGAACATAAAGGGTCATAATCTAACGTTGAATAAAAAAACTTTTGGATGTTTTCGAATCTTTTATTAAATAGCGCACTGTTTATGAAAATCAATTTAAACGCTTAATTTAGATAATCGATTGATTAAAAATGGGTTATAAGAAAATAAAAATCGATTATTTTTTAACATCATTAAGTCTAAGTGCGTTAACTGAGTCCACAAACCACACTGCCAGAAGGATTATAAATTGAGTTTTTTTATAGAATAGGGGGCAAACAAGCCTATGGCGCAACAAAAAAGGGCAGTCATTGCAGCCCATGGGCACCCATTTACTTAAAGTTAGTTAGTATTTAGTAACTTTACGTCTTATTAAAAGGCTTTGATATAACAATTGAATTACAGGAAATGCGATACTGACATTGGAAGCAAAAGATGCAGTTAAAGTCATCACAGTGCGGGGCACAGCATTTGCTCCTGAGCCGTTAGAGGGAGGATCTGCAGCACAGGAAAATGCCCCAGAAGGCGATTATAAGACTGACTTGGTGGAGTTTGTTTCACAAGAGCTCACCAAATCTGATAGACCAGAACTCAGCAGTGCTAAGAACATTGTTGCTGGTGGTAAGTTATTAAAGCTGATTTTTAAATATTCCATTAAAAGTTTTTGATTTAGGCACAATTAAAGCAAGATCTGTAATCTTTTTATTTTGTGTGCATTGGGCGAAAAAATTCCGAATGAAGCCATAATTGCCTTCTGATTTTAACATAATCTTTCAATAGGTTTTTGTTAAATTTTCTTATTTAAAAAAAAAACAGTCACTACTACCTCTAGGTCTTAGTTTTGGCAAGTAAGTTAAGTCAAGTTATCTGCCTATATTTTATATAGATGGTACAATAATTTTTGGAAAAAATATAATACTGAAATGTGTCTTTTCGACGGCTCATTGGTCTAGTGGTTAGTACCCCTGACTGCAAATCCATGGGTCCCGGGTTCGATCCCCGGCTGAGACAAACATCAATGTGATGAGCATTTGGTGTTGTGCTTAGGTTTTGGGTGTTTAAATATGTATTTATATGTCTATCTATCTATAATATGTATGTATATCCGTTGCCTAGTACCCATAACACAAGCTTCACCAGCTTAGCATGGGACTAGGTCAATTGGTGTGAATTGTCCAATAATAAAAAATAATAATAATAAAAAATTTAATGTGGCTGTTTATATATATAATGCATTTACAGGTCGTGGTTTGAAATCTGGTGATAATTTCAAGCTGCTATATGACCTAGCTGACAAACTGAATGCAGCAGTTGGTGCTAGTCGTGCAGCTGTGGATGCTGGTTTTGTCCCTAACGATCTGCAGATAGGACAGACTGGCAAAATTGTTGCACCTGTGAGTATTGGTGCTAAATTTGTTATATTCTATTTGTTCCACTTGTATTGGAGCAAATTGAATCCAGGACTTGTATCACAGGCTGTATGCCATGTTGGTGGAAGATTATAACATTGAGGCTAAATCTCACAATCTATGATGCTATGAACAAACAAAATTTTGATTCTTCACTTAATTTTGCAGTACCTTCATATTTAAATAATATAAATATTTTTAGTAATAACTTTTGCAATGTTTCATGAAGATATATTTTTCTTTTCTACTTCTAGGATCTCTACATAGCGGTAGGCATCAGTGGTGCCATCCAACACTTGGCTGGCATGAAGGACTCCAAGACCATTGTTGCGATAAACAAAGACCCTGAAGCACCTATTTTCCAGGCACGTAACTTCTGAATAAAGCATTTGCAACCGACTTAAAAAGAGGAATTTGAAAATATTTGAATGATATAAATATATGTATATGATTAAGCCAAGCAAGAGTGGGTATTCCAAGTGTATGTATGGCCACAAATTTCTTGGAAACAAAAAGTCATATTGAGATGATTTTAATTGGGTATATTCCATTTAGGGACCTAGCACAGTTTCATCAAAATCGGTTTAGTAGTTTTTAAAAGAAGTTACACATTTCTGTAGGGGGCATGTATAATATTACTAAATAATTTTGAAAGGTATACAAAGTCAGTCAAGATCTTCACACTTCTTTCAATATTGATATTGATTTATAAATTGAGGTAAAATTTTTGATTAATTTACAATAATAAACTGATATAACATGATGCAATGGTTGCCGGTGCTTATACATTTTTTTTTAAATCTTAGCGTTCTAAAAGTGACGGAGAATAGATTGCTTCTTGAATTTTCTTCACTAAATTTAAAACCATTGAATTTTTTTTGACATGTACATTAAGTTATCGACATGAATAAATGATAATTTGATTTGAATAATAAAATTAACAGTAAATAACCTTCAATAGTAAACAGCGAACTTCCGGTAAAAAAATATAAAAATATAAACTTTGAGGTGTTTAATTGTTAAAATGTATATAAATTGTGTTCGGGTTTATATTATAAAGTCAATAACTAAATAGGTACTTATTTCATAATAAAAAAACTATGAATAACTAGACCATCTTGTAGTGCAGATTCATCAATATCCTTTAATTAAAATTCATAATAATCAATTTTTGAGGGAATATTGTGCTTGGCTAAATTCCCAAAATTGATTTTATTTTGTCGCAGCAGTTAATACAATAACTTTACTTTAATTTTTTTTTCTAGGTGTCGGACGTAGGCCTGGTAGCAGATCTGTTCAAGGCAGTACCAGAATTAACCTCCAAATTGTGATGATTTTCTGTAAAACTGTAGCTAAAATTATATCAATTGTTGTCAGAAATTTTAAAACTATTATTGAGGAGAATCATGTATTTTATAAGAGAAATGTTAATAAAATGTAAAATTTTCTTAATCAAATTTTTTCATTACGAGGTTTATCAAAAACTCTTACAGCCTAATTGGAAATAATATGCCTAGGTATGGTATTATTATTACAAACTTAGTTTATATATACATATAAGAACTTCGTTAAAGTCATGCTTATGTGTATTTGTCAATGATTGATATTTTTTGTTAGAAGTAGAAAAGCCAATCAGAATAATCTAACCAAGGAGGCGGCCTATACTGGTTTACATAATAATGCAGTAGTTAGTTGGACAAATCTGCCAACTACGAAATAGATGAATAAGGTTAAGAGGGGTATGGTCGAAATTTGTACTAAACCCAGTCGTGCCACTTAAACTATTAATGTATATGTCGCAGCCAACTAGCTTAATTAGCCGTTCAATTAACAGCCTAGCCTTTTAACTAACGGCCTGAAAGATTTTCAGCCGTAGCGTTTGTTACAATATTTAATAAACTGGCTGGCTAATGCTTAGGCCATTCGTACGATAAAGTCATTATTTGGCAGAAATTGAAAAGATAAACATATGACATAAAAAATATTACTTTTAAAATTAAATTACTTAAGTCAAATTCACATTATTATTGTCACTACACTATTCCATTGTACTTGTTGTTTTTCATGAAAATTTGGAAAACACCATTAAAGTTGTGGTTTGCCATATTTACGCCTTTAGTACACCTACGCAATCGCATGCGGCAGCGAAACGACGAAAAGCTGTAAGTTGTATGGCAACGTTTCGCATGTGTTTTGTCTCGCTCTAATATATAGCTAGATGAAATAGTTGCGTCCTTGTCGGTATTGTTTCGCAAGTAACTGCGAAATGGCTGTTACACAGACGCAGACGTTTCGCTAGTAAAGTTTCGCATCGCAAGGCGTCACCACGCGTTCTGTCAGTGAGGACAGAATTTCGCACAATGGAAGCCGAAAATATTGAATTATTATTGAATTTGATTCGAAATTATCCCGAATTATATTTAGTTGGGCATGTTGATTACAAAATCCTCTTCAGAATCTGAAAGCGACGACTGGGACGACTCAGATGACATTCTGAAACGACGTCTGCACCTACAGCCCACGAAAGCTACAATGACATATCCTTGCGAAAAACCTGCAGTGTACTAACGTTCCGCAGATATTTCGCTACCGCAATTATTTCGCAAAGATTCGCAGCCGCATACGAACGCGTAGGTGTACTAAAGGCGTGACAGTTTGAACAGTTTCGTTTCGAGTTTGAGAGTGGCAGAAAGTTGAATTAAATTTAAATTAACAGTCAAGCTAGGCAAGTTATGAAACGTCATCGAACCAAGTCATTTGCCTAGCCGTTCAATCAACTGGCTGAACAGCTTTCAGGCCGCTAGTTAAACGGCTAGGCTGTTAATTGAACGGCTAATTTATTTCTTTAATCATATAAACAGTTATAAATTCAAAAATTAATACGAAAATAACAACAAAATTTATTACAAATTTACGTACAAAATTAATGCACGTTCAGAATTAAGTGGATGAATAAGTTATATCCAAAATAACACATATTTAAAAATGTAGCAATATATTAAATGAGTCGTTATAAAATAAATATATATATATATATATTTACAAAATCTATTAAATATCGTGGCACGAACTTTTTCACTACGTATTTTCTTTCTTTCATTATATTGGCGCCAATCATGTCGGTATGCTTATTAACTTATGCATTTGTTGAGGAATGATCTGCTTAACTGCTTAACACATTTTTCTCAAAAATCATTTTACTATTCGACAATAGATGGCGTTAGTAAAGAAAGTTCTTATTCTAAGCTTTAGCGTTTTTGACGTTCATACTTCTTTGCATACTTTTAGTAAAATAAACATCCTTTTTATGCTTAAGTAAATATATTCTGATTTCGCGAAGTATGAAAGACTACCTATGACCTAAGACTACCTAATCAAATACATTTCAATTATGATAACATAATTTTTTCGTATATAAATTAATACCAAGGGCGTAAATTCAGAGTTAGCTACAACTAGTACAAAACAAACAGGTAAGGGCAGTCAATCAAGTTAGTAACGATAGTATCTACTCGTGATGTGGTTTGCTCGAGGTGGCATCCTCGTTATCATATTTGCTGGGGAGAGGGGCGGAGCGTGAAAAGGCCGCGCCCATCTGCCACGCCTTCCGCGTACTGACACTGACAAACAACGCGACTGTTGCACGGTACAAATGAAATCAATTATGAAGTTTTTTCTCATATGCACTTTTTAATAATTTGCTAAATTATATTTCCTTCTAATTTTTAATTTGTATCTTGGTCGAAATGTTTTTACTATGGTATGCTGTTTTTGTTTTTTGTTTTTTTGCCCATATCAAATACCTATATTAGTTTTTGCATACATTCTGTAACACGCGAACGGGTCGCACACATTCATTTTTAGGGCAATAAGCGATCTGTACGTACTTTCCTAAAACAGTTATATTTCGACGGGTAACAAAACTAAAGACCAACCAGGTTTTATACCAAATGCGTTAACCATTTAGCAACAAGTTTAGCAGAATATACGCCATATTCTACTTAACTAGAAGGAATATTACTACTCTGTCTTGTGAGTTGTCGCGCGCTGGTTGCAATAGTAGTCTTTTTTTCAAGTATACATATTTAGTTAGATAATATTGTTTATAATGTTATTTTGTTTTACGTATAGGTATAAAGTGTTTTTCGAATAGTTATAACCTACTTCGCGTGTTACAGCTCAAATTGATTACATTTGCTAAAAGTTCACAGATATAAGAAAGTATATCGCATAATATATAAGTAAGTATAGTTCAGTAACCGCGAATAAACCTAGTAAAGGAGTAGTTAATAATTAAAAAATACAATTATATAAACCAAATAAGGATGGTCTAGGTAGGTAGTGAACCGTTTGTGTTAATATTTATCTAAAAAAACAGCTGCTTTTTAACCCATATATTTTTTATTATACAGATATTAATTGGTGTAACCGAATCCGTAAAACAGTAACAAAAACGTAGCGTCTAAAGGAATATCGTCACGGTTTTAATGATGGGGGATGTTCATAATATAAAGGGAGCGGCAAATTGAACCCATGCGCATTAACCAGAGTTTACATTTTCACCTGCTCTTATTTACCGATCTTAAAAAGATGGCGCTCATGTCGGGGAATGAGTTACGGCACATTAATGAATTAAAGTAAAGATGCCTGTAAGTTCAATTTAAACATTCATAATTTTAAGAATCCGCCAAAACGCCTCTCTAGGCAAGATGGCGTCGCACCAGTCTCTATGACGTACCATTGCCAGAAAAGTTTTTCAAGTAAAGTCAAATCATTTATTTCAATTTTACCACCTAAAATGGCACTTTTGAACGTCAATTTAATATAAAGATGATTCTACTTCCCTACTTCCCTTCCAAAAGGTAGTTTCGTGTGGAGAAGCATGGGCAAGAAACTCCACACTACTCTTTAAAATAGGTTTACAATATTTTGTATACGTTAGTTAAATAATTATATGTCAACATCACCATGTGTTTCCATCAAATAGTCTCCGACGAAATTAAACTTCGAGATAGTATTAGGATTAGACAGGCGAGGACATATTATTTTCAGGCATACATATAGGTACAGAGGCAAACGCCTACAGTAATGTCATCATCGATGCGTCTAACCTGTGACAGTTTTGTGTCACGTGACTAATGTATAAAAATAAATATTTTTCATTTATGTTTCTCCAACGCCTTTTAAAGCCATGTTTTATGCATATCACTCCCAACAACATTTAATTTTTCATACTTGCAAATGGCCCTTAGTGTCGCTGCTCTGGCTTCATTTGAGAAATATAAAATCTATTAAGTATGATAATTTTATGACATGGTATATACTCGCCATACAGTGCCATTTTTATCTGTTATATTTCGTGGTTGTTATATGTTCAAACGTTGTATATTTTTGTTGAATTTCACGTTTAACATGATATTAATTTTGTTAATAAGTAGATAAAATATCAGTAAACCCGTAAAGACATTGAATAATTTGAGTATGGTCTACTCCTTGCACAGAATAAGTAACTGCTTAGTTGATTACAGTGTTGTTGTTAATCTGTAAAATAATTAAAACGTAGGTGTCTAAATCTAATATTTCTTAATATTGTATGTGTTGTAGGTAGGTCGAAAGGTAGGCAAAAGCTTAAGAATTAATGAAAAAAAAACTTTATTAGTTGTTAAATATTTTCCATTCATACAAAAGTAATTTCTGTACATTCATTTTTTGTTTTATTTTATTTCTACAGCTAGTTATAAAAACCCTTAGACAAAAACAGGTGTTTTGTTTGGTTTTTTTTAATGCAGAAAGTAAGTATTTAAAACGATGCATTATAAATGAGAGTAATACCTACACTAACAATGTTATTCTATTTAGCCATCATCTTCCCTTTACTATGAAATATAAACGAACGGTTATGAAGGTTTTTTTGCTAAATGGTGATAAAAACGATTATACTATACTTATTATATTTTAATAACTATGTTAGCCTAGTAGCTTCTGCGTCCGACTCTCATCCCTGAGATCGTCGATTATCGAGTTCGATAAAAAACCTAATAGCATGTAAAATAATACTTTTTAGTTGGTAATTACTGTAACATTATAGTTACCTCGACGTCCGTCGTTCCACAACTGAGCGTCTTAAGGCAGTTTTTGCCGAGCACCATCACTTAGTGAAACCAGCCGCCCACTGAAATATTTTCGAACCAACGAAGGTCCTTCAAGAAAAGAGCGTACCAATTCTTAAAATGTCGGCAACGCACTTTAAAGCCTACTGAGTATCCATGGCGGTATCAATTAACATCAGGTGAGTCTCTTGCCTCCTGTTCTGCAAAACAGGTGAGTTTAT